ATCATGGAATAATTATAAACGAGGTAGATTTTGGAACTTCTGGTCTGATATCCATCCATATTCAATATATTCGACTGCTCTATGTGCATTTCCGGACAGCCTAGAGTAAATGGATAAATACCACCACGGTCCAACCCGACTGTCATGAACCGCTTAGGTTTCAGTTGCATATTATCAAGCAAATTATCTCAGATCATTATTCAAACCCAGCTAGCCCATTGTCGCTGTTCCACCTGTTCCCTGTTCTCTGTCTCCTGTCACACATGTCACTGTCCAACATCATTATTGTATCCCGTCTAACGTCTCTGTTCCAAATAATGTATCTCCGCTATCCCATGTCCTTGTAAAACCCATTTAACACCCGTTTCCTTTGTACCTCTGCCTTTGAACTCCCTTGTAAAACATTAATAATATCAGCCAATGTTATCCTATGCATCTATCCCCGAAATTATCTGTATCTATTCCCGCTACCCAAAGATGTCCCGAACTCAATATGACTAATAATCTGGCTCTGTATATCTGATCCGCGAACTCTTGTTTACCCGATATGTCAATTAATATAAATAACAGCATGTTTATTTATTCATTCTTATTTCTGTATCCAAGAATTTATCTATTTTTCTGTTTCTTTGAATAAACCTTTTTCTACCTACATTCCTTTTATATATATATTAATACTAATAGATATATAATTTCTCTTGCGTTGTTGTCATGATCGTGTCACGTAGATGCATTAATTTTGGTAATTCTTTGTCAGCACCTTGTCATCTACGTGTCAGCTATCAATCATCGAATATGTCTCATAAATAAGTAATGGCTTACTAAACTTTGTCATTGCTTATTTTTATGCTAAATATCTATACAATCCTTTACTATAAATATAGCCTAACTTTCCCTCTTCTTTCTTCCCCTTCATCAGATATATTACCTAACAACCCTCTCTCCTCTTTTCTTCTCTCTCTCTCTCTCTCTCTCTCTCTCTCTCTCTCTCTCTCTCTCTCTCTCTCTCTCTCTCTCTCTCTCTCTCTCTCTTATAATAAAAATAATAATTATCTTTTATTTCTTTGTTCTTGTAAGCAAGTATCCTTCTGTCTGTCCTGTCCGCCTGTCCGTTCATGACAGTTGTACTCACCCTAATAGTCATTCTGTTCTGCTCTTGCCCCGCGCCGCTCCTGACACCGACATGAGTTTAGCCGTCTAATTCTCCAGTAGTTACTAGCTGAGTTCCGACATCTGTCAGAGTACAATACAAAGTTTTAAACGAATAGAAATAGCCATTGAAGTTACTTAAAACCCAATACTGAAATCCCTGTGTTAAATTTTTGACGAAATCATATTTTAAATCTGTACTAACAGCTTGGACAGACGACGCCATAAAGCATCTCTTTCTGGTAATTGTCTGGTCAAAGTTAAACTCCATAAATATCCTAAACAAACAAATTTTCACACAGCTATTGTGTATGCAAGTCAATATTTGCAAGATGTGGACTCTAACTTCTTAGCCCTTGCCAAAACATCGTATGAAAGTCAAGTCAAATTTTTTTTTAACATAAAATGCCTGTTTAAAAATGAATAAACAGCTAAACAAAACATTTTTTAGAACATGTGTAGTCGATCGAATAAAAGTTTTAGTGGGACTATATTTTGGTAACTCCAGTTTGTTTTCTGTATAAATCATAAAAATCTCAGATTTCTCGTCCGTTATCTGTCAAGATCCAATACATTTGCGTACTCTGGTCAGTTATCCCTCAACATCCGTTGACTTCAGGGTACTCCGGTCCGTTATCCCTCAAAATCCGTTGACGTTAGGGTACTGCGGTCCGTTATCCCTGAAAATCCGTTAACTTCAGGGTACTCCGGTCCGTTATCCCTGAAAATCCGTTGACTTTAGGGTACTCCGGTCCGTTATCCCTGAAAATCCGTTAACTTCAGGGTACTCCGGTCCGTTATCCCTACAGATCCGATACTTAAGGTTTCCCTGATTAAATTAAACTAATGACCAAAATACATTATAAGAAATTAGAAACGGTTCCGAAAAGGTTCAAGCATTCTAAACTTGTATGGGGATTATCTGAGCTAATTTCACATCTAAGGTAAGTCGCAAATCATATCAGAACATCCTTAAACGTGCGCTAAATTTCAAAAACGTATATACAGTGCCCTCCAAAGTATCGTAACCGTTTAAGGTTTCCGTATTTTGTGTAATGACATCACATACTGATTCATAGGGTGACTTTCCAAACATTTTTATTTTTCTGTTTTTTGTTATTATTAAGTGATGGATCCCGTTAACAGCGCTTCATAGGAAATATATAAGCTAGTATCACTATTATAAGATGTTAAACCCTTTTTTTTCATAACCTTCACTGAAACATTTTTATTCTAAACATGTAACCCATTTTTGAGTCTACCACACTTTCGTTTAGTCCAATGCTGCTCTAATGGTGTCATTGCTTTGGAGTCTGGTTCTAGTATTGGTGTATTGAACAGAGCTATAAACAAAATTAATCAAGATAACCTTTTCAATTAGTAGGCCTGTGAGGAGTGAATCGGGGCAAGAGCAGAACAGAATAATTATTAGGGTGAGGACAAAAGAAACAGACATTATATATCTATTAGTATTAATAAATATATAAAAAGGAATGAAGGTAGAAAAAGGTTTATTCAGAGGAGCAGGAAAAATAGATAAGATCTTGAATACAGAAATAAGAATAAATAAACATGCTGTTATTTATCTTTATTGACAGATTGGGTAAGCAAAGGTTGGGGGATCAGATTAACAAAGACAGACTATTAGTCATAGGCCGTCCCCAACCAAAACTTTTTTTACGTTTTGGGAACAAAAGTATTTAGCTCAAAATAGTAATTCAAACTATAAAAAAACATTTTATTAGCCAAAATGTATGGGGGGTTCGGCAATTTACAAATTAGTAATTTATACCCTCGTAGGTGGGGGCTATAAATTACAAAAAAGTAAAAACAAGTGTGACATGACTTAAAATAATATTTCTAATTAGTAAACTAGCTTGTTTTATTTACTGGTTGTATATGGGCCACATTGCTATCCTCAGTATACTAAAATTATAAGCTAGTACTTATACTGGGGCTACCAAACCTTTTTACAAATCGAGCGATTTGTTTTTGAAAATAAAGTTTGCTTGTGAACGGCCATATTTAGTTTGGGACATCTTTGGGGTAGCGGGAATGAACACAGATAATTTCGCAGATAGATACAGAGGATAACATGAGCTGATATTATTAATGTTTTATAAGGGAGTTCAAAGGCAGAGGTACCAAGGAAACGCATGTTCAATGGTTTTACCAGCACAAGGAACAACGGGGATACATTATTTGGAACACAGGCGTTAGACAGGATACAATAGTGATGTTTGACAGTGACATGTGTGACAGGAGGAAGAGAACAGGGAACACGTGGAACAGGAACAATGGGCTAGTTGGGTTTCAATAATGGTGTGAGACATTTTGCATGATTATATGCAACTGAAACATAGGCGGTTCATTACAGTCCTCTTACTATCAACCGGCGAGCTGACCGATTGTCTTTCAGTTTTCGACCGGCAGGTTGACCGTTCGTAAATTATTTTTTGACCGGTCAGTTGACTGGTCGATGTTTAATTGCTAAAACGTGGCTGTAGTGTTCGTTATTTCAAAATATATGGAGCTTTTACAAAAACTGCAATAGCAGAAGGTCAATTATTGTGTCCAAGGCCAATTTGTATATTGAGCTGAAAATTTTATGGCTAGAAAAATAAACACATTTTCAATTTTTTTTACGCAATCTCTGCCATAAACTTGATATAGTCATACTCCTGATTATTATTCCGCCTAATCACGTGGGCAAGGAATGTCCAAAAAAACAGAAGTTTACTATTTTGGTTGCCATGGAATCGCCTGTAAAGTCTTACCCAACATAATAATTGCCTGTGTTGAAGTTACGCAACTCCTTGTAAAGTATATCACTACAGGTGTCTAGTCCTAATGTTGTATTTTGTACGCATTATAATTAACCTGACTAAGTATTTCGATACCATGTTTTATATACCAAATAATGCGATACGAATCATTTCTCATGGAAAACAATTAATATAACGTGTCCCTAAGCCTAAACCTGATAAACGTTTTGCTCTTTTTTAATTAAAATTTTATACCCCAAAAAACGTTTTGCTACAGATTTCTGACAGACGAACGATTGTAACATTGGTTTGAAACATAAGCAATTAGTTTAAATATTTAGTTATAAAAACGTTTTACTGATAGTTATCAAACATTATTAGTGCTAAAATATTAAAGGGGGGAGTATAGGGAAAGCCCGTCGTTGGAAAGAAACAAAAAAGAGCAGACAGTAATTTTTTAACACCCGACTTCGATCCAATATAAGGCTATAAGATGACAACAAAATGCTTTTAATTTAAACATCCCACCCGTCTTTCGACACGTAAAGCAATGAATGCCTATCGGTTTTTTTCTGACCATTTTCTGCGCATACAATGATCGTGGAATAGACATAACACAGCTATTTCTGATAGTAAAGTAGGGATAGTATTTAATATAGCTCTCGGCTACTATTAAAAGAAGAACGCGAAAAAGAAAAACAGAATAATTCGACTTTTGCACCTACATACAAAAAGTCGCTTTCCGACAGGTACGCGATTGAATCCAAAATGCATATTGAAAGGTGGTGATGGACGTCAAATTTCTTTATCTCTCACCCTTTTTATTGTTCGACATCAAACACAAAGAAAGCATAAATAACTAAATTAAATAACGTGCATGTTAGTATCAAAAGCGAATGTAAGTACAAGGTAAGCCAATCATCTTGTAACAGATAACCAATTATTTTTGTTAGATCCAGAAAACCATGCCATCTTATTAGTCAAGGTTTGAGAATGTAAAACATTCAATTACCAACCGAAGAAGGTGAGCTCTTTTTTTATCTTACAAATGTATATATATTAAGATGTACATAATCAGAACAATCTATGGCCTCGCCAATTGAGGAGAGACCAATGGCTGTGCCAAGAAAAAGAATGGCCAAAGAAAACCATGAGGGTAGCTCTTCTGCCAAGAAAGGCAAATCGTATGCCTCAAACCCATACATTGATGACGAGGCCTCGTGTCAAAATGACACTGAAGAATCCAATACAATCAGTGTCGTCGAACCAGTAGAGGTTCCTACCACCCCTTCCAAGGAGGCGGATGCTATCATTACCCCAACTGTCGCAATTCGACAAAACATGTCGATTCTAAGCGCTCCACTCCGACTCAAGGCAATCAGAGTCTTAAAAATGCCTACTATGACAGCACCACCGAGCAAAAAGACATTGATAACTTTCTGAAAGATATCTTCTTTTATTTCAATGCTGGTCAGACTTACGATGTCTTGGGAAAGTGCATCCAATACGTCGGATGTTATCACTTTTTTTGTTTCTTGGCAGAATCGAAATTACAAGGCCAAGGAACACATAAAAAACACATGCAAGCAATCAAAGGTAAAACATACATGGCCTATTGCATACTTTAAAGATTTAACCTTCTTTCAATAGACGGTCAATCCATTAAATACCAGACCAGACTTTTAAAAGCTGCCGGTAAAAGACACAATGTGTTACTTAAGGACTTTAAGTACGGCGCTCTTGCCATTGTAATTCCTAACTCCGTTGCAGCCTTTGAGCGATGGAGCTGGGAAAAATTCCCAAACATTCATTAGTGTGATTAAGCAGGATAAAGCCTTAACAAAGGAATTACAAGATCTTCAGCTTCACTCCTCTTTCTTAGACAAAACTGGAGAATTAAATTACGTATATTATAAAGACAGCGGCTAAATTCGTTCCGATCATATTCAAAATAATAAGGAGTTCATTTTTGCTACTTGGCTTTAATTCAAGGTCGTAGTGTTTCATTGATCCTAATTGTGACACAATAAAATATCAATACGAAAGACTTTTTTTTTCATCCTCTCTTATCATTAACAAGAGCCACGGCTCTTTGCAAGGTAATTGACAAGATAATGGTAGTAATGTAGTGTGAAAGACTAAGGCGGTGCGTCGGTCCATGAGAGTGCCAGGTCCTATGAGAAGGAACCAGTACGAGATTCTTCTTTCATGTATAGAAACACCAGACAAATGTGGGAACGATACATGGAAGAACAATATTCTACTTAAAACAACGAGCTCTTTTTAACGGTTCTATTCTTGTTCCAAAGAACGATGATCCCATTGACTTATTTATCTTTTAGTACCCTACATTACGCGCACTACACTATTCTTCCCTCTGAAGGCCAAGCCTTGACACACATAGCACCCTGAATGAAAGTCGGAACTACATAAAGTTATAACGAATGCCTTCGAGGCTTTCTAGTGTTATATTTCTAGGGCAAACTTGTTTATTCGGTTTCATAGTTTTTATGAGTCTGAAGTTAGATGAATAGAGTCTAATTTTAGACTCATCTTTTAGATATACGGTTACCATATGTAAGAATCCGGTTCAAAAGATAATAGACACTAATTTTTGAGAGCATCGACGGTTTTTTCTATATAAGATTATAGGAATTAATAAACAAGTTCTAGTTCATGAGCGTTAAATTAGCCGCATGGTAAACATTGGCGCGATGGATGAGATTCGATCTCCCTGTATTAGGAGCGAAATATCAGCTTGATACCGGAATATTTGAGTGGATGACCCTATTTTGAGGATATTTATCAAATTGCGTAAAATAGTTTACTTGTTTTGATTTCTCATTAATATACAATTGGCGAATGTCAAGAGCTGAAAGGCCTACAGGACAGACAGAATAATACTTGCTGCCAAAAACAGAGTTGTCCACCGAATGAAATTTAACATTTTTACTAAAATATAGCTAAAACTAGTACAAAAATGATATAATCATTTTTGACCACATTACTAATACGTTCATGTTATAAATTTCTAAGAATCAAGTGATGCAGTGTATAAAATATATTATAAGTAGGAGTCACTTGAAATTAACTTGCTACTTCCATTTTTTTTGGATGGAAAATGGGAAAATGTGCTTAAATACAAGCGAGTACGGAGGAAGTTAATAAAAATATCACCAATTGGTATGGTAGGTAATTTTATGCCAACAACCAGTACTGATAAATAATTGGAATAGTTTTAGCATGATAAAGGAAATCTCTTCACTGCATATCGGGCAAACAGCAACGGAATTGACACCATATTTACCTTGACAATTTTTTAAATACATAAAAAACCCGACAATATAACCAAAAAATATTTTTTCCGGCACTTGTAAAGGACTGACGCAATTTAGACAGTTTCAGGAAAAACTTGTACGTTCATGGAGCAAGTATGAGAACAAAATAACATGTAACCGTCACCAGCCAAAAGATACATTAATTAAAGTAAAATTTACTTAAAGGGCAAAAATATTTTTCAGAAGTCGAAAAACATTTTTAAAGAGGTAGGAATAGTTTTAATAAAATGCCAATAGCCTGGGCTGTCTAATTACATTGTTAAAAAAGTCTCTACCATAAGGGAGGTAAGACACGACACAGTCAGACATAGAAGCCCAAAAATACTTTGCTCAACTACGCTAAACGTTTGACGGACACAGTAATAAGCATCTTTATAATAGTGCTAGCTTTAAATAGAGTATCTATCTACCAAACATTACGGACAGAAAACAATTATTGATCAGAAAACCAGAGAAATTAGCAAAAATGTCGATGTTACAGAATACCTATTATTTATACGATATGCTTAAACAAGTAGTACTTGTAACAGTTTCATAATTGACTAGCTCGTGTTGAAACAAAACATGAACACCAAACAGTCATTGTTTTTGAAGTAAGTCTAAAATTGTTATATTAATAATTAAAAATCGCGTACAAATATTTGATTAACGATATGAAGTAATAGCGGAATATCTGTGACGGTGGTAGTACTTAATAGGGCAGCTTTAATTAAAATGTAGAAATGAATCAGCAAATAACACAAAGTGAGCAATGAATTTACTAAAAACACGAATAGTCAGTAGTTGATGGAATTATTGTGTTTTGAGGTAAGTAAAATTATAACGCAGTATATAAGTAATTTGAGACTGTTTATTCGATTGTCTTTATTATGAAATAAAATGAACAAGTATTTATATAAAAAAGACTATCTGCTGTACCACTATTTTTAGTGTATCTTTGAAGTTGTTATCATTTTCCCAGTGTGTATCCTGTTACCTTTAACTGCTTATTTTGTAAATAGAGGAACAGTCTGCTCCACTACCACGTATCAAGCATGTTACAACCTGAGAACATCATGATACCATACACACAGTCCAGAAGGTTGCACAAGCTTACCTTCACACGTCAGACTCCCTCACTGACCGTTTTTGTTATTATTAATACAATTAAGAAATTAATGATACGTTTGAACATTTTTTAAAAATAATTTATTAAATATTTATTTTAGAAAAAGGTCATATTTTTAGATACTATTTTATTATCTAATGAATAGTATACTTTTTATATCGATAGCGATAGTTCCTCATATGTTACACTTGGAATTACTGTCATCTTAGACACATTGTACTTCCATATCTTTAGTAAGCCTTAGTCACTGTGTTCTTGTAACCTTGTGATATGATAGTACTAACTATCTATATTCGGTAATTGATTCCTTAATCATTCTTAATGTATTGATGTCATAGATATAGGTTTATTTAATGTAGCAACAATATAGCAGATCACCACATGACAGAGTTGGATGGAATTGAATTTAATCTGGCGGAATACGACAGAAGAGGATGTACATGACCAGAATAACATTGAATAAAATTGAATAGCATTGAATACCTTTGAATTGAATGTTGTTGAATGTAATTTGATGGTATTGAATGTACTTGCATGGAATTGGATGCCATTGGAGTTAATTGAGTGTAATTGGATGGCATTGAATGCTGCTCGATGGAATTCAGTGTAATTGCATGGAATATAATGTAATTGGATGGAATTGAGTGTAATTAGATGGTATTGAAAGCAATTGGGTGGAATTGAGTGTAATTGGATGTTAATTGACGTAATTGGATGGTACTTGATGTAATTGGTTGTAATTGAGTGTAATTGCATGAAATTCAATGTAATTGAATGGAATTGAATGTAATCACATGGAATTGAATGGAAATGAATTTAATCCGATGAAATACGATGGAATAGGATTGCATACAATGGAATCAATCCGAATGAAATGGAATTGAATGAGATAGGAGGGATTACGACAGAGTATGATTGAATGCAATGGAATCAATCGGAATACAATCGAATGCAATGGAATCCATCGAAATGGAACAAAATAAGATGGAATTAAAAGGTACATGATGTAATTCAATGGATTAAATGAAAGCAAGGTGTCAATGAATTAAGTAACTGTTAAAATTGATGTTGCAAGGTACGATAGGATTGCATGTGAGTGGATAAGAAAAAGAAGATATAGTTACATACAAATAGGATGGAAGATGATCGATCAAGAAAAGCAAAGATGAAATAGAGAGAAGTATAATTAAATTTAAAAAAGAATACAATCAACTAAGAAGAGAAAGGATAAAACTATGAGGATCATGAAGACATAAGGTCAAGTACAATGTATTTATAGAGGAATACCATCAAGTATAAAAAAAAGAAAGTAAATCTGCATGAATAACTATGTTTACGAGATGGAATGCCATTTGGATAGGATCATCAATAAAAATACATGACAGATAGAAAACAAAGTAAACAGCAATAAACTGACTAAATCTAAAAGAGAAGAGATGTATACTTGTATTCTAAAGACAGAGATGGAACTGAAAAAGGGAATTGTTTTATAGCGTCACAATGAAGACATAGGGGGGTATATAAACGCTGTCCGAAAAGAATGTTGTCTGTTTTTTTTTCCTTTTTTCCTTATAACTTTTTTTGACGTTATGGAATACCCTGATTTTGAAAAGTTTATAAAGTACTTTCAGTAAAATAATGCTCGTGAACCCCATCTTGGAATAAAACAATTCCAAAGAATAATGCGTGAGAGTGGCTTCCGCCTGGCGCATATGAAAAATCATATCACATTAGCCACGAAATGTGATGGTTATTATGTAACGGATCCAACTCCTTTGGACGTATTGACCATTAACTGGGTAGATTCGTGTGGCGATGATGAGTTAGAAGAGCACGATTCCGGCATATTGTTGGGTTGAGCAGTAGGAGCAGTTGATGACGAGGATGATGAATTTGAGGTAGCAGCTGCCGAATTAGCAGCAGCAATTGAAGCAACAACAACAGCAGCAACAACAACAACAGCAGCAGCTCCAGCAACAACAACCACAGCAGCAGCAGCGGCAGCATCAGCAGCAGCATCAACAACAGCAGTAGTAACAACAACAACATCAACAACAACAGCAGCAGCTCCAGCAACAGCAACAACAGCAGCAGATCTTGAAGCAGCCGTTCAAGAAGCGGCTAATGAGGCAGCAGCTACAGCTGTTCTAGCAGCAGCAGTAGAAGCAGCAGCAGCAGCAGCAGAAATAGCAGAAGCAGCAGCAGCTCCTCCAAAAACCGAAAGGGAGGCTGCATTAGCAGAAGCAGCAGCAGAGTTAGCTGCGGCCTTTGAGGCTGTTCATGAAACAACAGCGGCAACATCATCATCATCAACAGCAGCAGCAGCAGCAGCATCATCATCATCAGCAGCAGCAGCAGTAGCATCAGCAGCAGTAGCAAGCGTAGCAGCTTTACCGGCTCCTAGACCGTCTCCGGTCATTGAAAGATTGGAAACGTCCATGGCTAGAGCTACGAGCTCAAGAACAGCTGTAACAGCAGCAACAGCACCATCATCAACAACAGCAGAGCAAGAGGAGCTTGCTGATATAGAAGGTCGTCTCTTGAATCGACTTGAAAAAAATGATAATTCCAACTACCTCGCCAAATTACAAAGAGGGGACGATGAGCTCAACCCATGGTCCAGAAGTGTGGTTATGGGTACTACGTTCGATCGCTTGTTAGAATCAGGCGACTTGGCTGAGTTCACGTTTAGATTGTCGATAATCAAGGATACGTTTACAATGACAAACACCACATAACAAGTATTTAAATATATTGTCTGTTTATACCACTACCTGACATATTCGGAATACGTTGTGTACCAAAACATGCAGCCTGGAGACGCAGAGGATCTTATTGTCATGAACCGCTTAGGTTTCAGTTGTATATTATCATGCAAAATGTCTCAGATCATTATTGAAACCCAACTAGCCCATTGTCCCTGTTCCACCTGTTCCCTGTTCTCTGTCTCCTGTCACACATGTCACTGTCAAACATCACTATTGTATCCTGTCTAACGTCTCTGTTCCAAATAATGTATCTCCGTTATCCCTTGTCCTTGTCAAACCCATTTAACACCCGTTTCCTTTGTACCTCTGCCTTTGAACTCCCTTGTAAAACATTAATAATATCAGCCCATGTTATCCTCTGCATCTTTCCCCGAAATTATCTGTATCTATGCCCGCTACCCCAAAGATGTCCCAAACTCAATATGACTAATAATCTGTCTCTGTATATCTGATCCCCGAACCCTTGTTTACCCGATCTGTCAATTAATATAAATAACAGCATGTTTATTTATTCTTATTTCTGTATTCAAGATCTTATCTATTTTTCCTGTTTCTTTGAATAAACCCTTTTCTATCTACATTCCTTTTATATATATATTAGTACTAATAGATATATAATTTCTCTTTGCCTTGTCCCTCACCTTAATAATCATTCTGTTCTGCTCTTGCCCCGCCCCGCTCCTGACACTTATGATCCAAAATGGAGCAGACCAAGTCGGCTTCTATAAAAGGAAAGTACGGGGAGAACGTGTTCTCCATCTTTATGGATTGTTAGGAATCGCAGGTATTTTAGCCAGTGAAATTATCAATGTCACAAGCTACACCACGATTGAAGCTGGATTTCATCGCGAAATGGCTGTTTTGATGGCGCATCCGTTGGCGAGAAAATTAAGTTTTTTGAGAACAAATTCGATCGATTGGATGTTTGATCAAATTGAACAAAAATTACGAGCAATCAATGCCGATCATAGGGAAATAGCCGTGGCAAATGAGATCTTTTGGGATGACATGGAAGAAGACAAGAGGTCAAGGTAAAATAAAGTGTTTCGCAAGAGGTCAAATTCAAAAGAGACATAAAGACCAAGGAAAACGTAGAGAGTTCCGAGTAGAAAAAAAAAGGATTTTAAGCAAGATTAAATGAGAAAAAAATTTTGCACCCCTGTTCAATATAACGTGAGAAAAATGGATGACTCGGCACGTATGTTTATATTATCGAACTTGCTGAGAAATGGTATAAATAGGGGTACTTTATTTTTCAAGTTTACATGTGTTTCTCTCTCAAATATTTTTTTCTTATAAATCATGACGCAAACCTCACTAGAATATGAAGGGGATGTTTGGCAAGCTCAAATTCAAGATAACCCGGATGAGGCTATGTACCGGATGAAACGCTTGTTGGAGACGGCTGGTTTTGTGTTTGCTACAAACAGTGGTCCTATTTATATGGGTGTATCAGTAGGAGGAAGATTGGTGTTTGATCATGTTCCGTTACAGGTGTACATGTTCGAAAAAGATCTACAAGATGAAATAGCACGTGAAGGACAATAAAGTCAAAGAATAACGTTGCGTAGTTATCATGCTTTTGAAATAAAACTTGATTGCACTAATTTTTTGGTTTACAAGTGTGGGAGATGATAACTGCACAAAAATAAAGGGGATAAAGTTGTAATTCATACGGAAGCCGGGTATAGGCCTAGCGCATCTTTTGGAAAAATGAAATCAAAGATTAATAAGTACAGTATGGAGAGAAATGTAAAAAGAAGATAACGTCATGGGTTTTTAAGTGATAAACTTGAAATGAAAGTCAAGGCCGGGTCTAGGTCTAGCGCATCTTTTGAAAAAGTAAAATCAATGATTAATAAGTGCATTATAGAGCAAAACGTGAAAAGAACATAACGGCATGGGTTAGCGACAAGCAATTTGATTTGGATGCATATACCATTTTTTCATTTAGATGTAAAAACACGAGAGCTATAGAATGTTACTAGTCTTGGGGTCTAGACATTGGTAGCTATTGTAAAAAGTACGTTTAAATACCAGCATCTGTACACACCTCATTTTCACGACTGGGTTCGATTCCTATAAGAGACAAGTTTAGGCTGCTGACATCGAACAAAATAAATTGAGATCTTAAATAGATGTGCTAATACAGACAAGCGCCGTTTTTTTTAAATATTTTTCTTTGAAGGTCAATCTTTTTCCAAAACCTGCTTATTAAAAAAATATAAACAATAAAAATAAATATCATCCTGGAACTAGTGCAATTCGATTTTACCAAACTAACGTGCCACCAAGCTTAAATCGACCAAAAATTTTAACTTTTTTTACACCCATTTTTATCATCCAAAAATACTTTTTTTAAAAAAATAAAACGTATAGAATTATTATTCAAGACTTTTTAAAGCCGAATCAATTAATACATTTGTCATTTATTTAAAAAAAAAATTCTCTGATAGTCGGCAAAGTGTGTCGGTAATAAAAAATTTAAGCGGGGAAGTATATGTAGGCATAAATTTTTGAAACACGCGTAATTTTTCATGTATATTTTTTAAACTCAGAATAGCCTTTTAACCAATAACATTGTACCAAACCCGTAAATTCATATATTTTTCTTTGAGAGCTATGAACTCGATCAGTTTTTGGTTTAAATGCACAGGAGTACTTTTATATTATTATTATTCAATTAAACAATATTTGTATACGTTTTGTTTTTAAATTTTATTTATAAAAAACTCTTTTTTTTTTACTTTTAGTCAGACGCCTTTTCAATCTAAGAACCCTTGGAATTGGGTTGGGGGAGCAGAGTAGTAAATAAGTGGTGTAACATAAAAAAAATTAATTGAAAGCTATCAAGTCCATCAATTTTATGATCTATGACTTTAAAACAGTTTTAATCTATTTGTATTTTGATTAAGAGTGTTTCTTTACCTTTTGTTTTCAATTTATTATTAAAAACATTGTTCAACGGTAGTCAATATGTCGCGCTCTTTTAAAGGTAAGCCGTGAAGCTATTTACGGGAGAGGGGAAAATTTTTCAATTTTTGTAGTCACGCGAGTACAAAATGTTTGAATGCCATGAACTTAGTCAATTTTATGTTCTGTAATTTCGGAAAAGTTTTAAACTGATTATAGTATTATGGGAAACAATTGTATACGATTAGTTTTTTGACTTTGATATTCAAATCGTAATTAATACAAAGACTTAATGCGCCGCTCTTTTAATTTAAGGGAAAAAAAAGAAGCAAATAGAAGGGCCAACCAAATTGACAATGACTCCGCAGTTACCGATCAAATCTGGGTAATATCATAACATGCAATTTTGTGACGCGCTGGTTTACTTCTTTATACTTGTCACTTTGTTATAATTGAATAATGCCTCCACTCAACGCAAGACAACGTGCTTTCAAAAATAGAAAACAATGTGCTGATGGTAAACTTGCTTCCGAACCTATTGTTGAAAACGACTGGGAAGATATTAATGACAATGAAACCGCAATTGATTTGGATGATTTGAGAAGTTTTGCAGAATCACATAATTATCAAAAGACAATCAACAACGCACTTGTTGATAATACCTTGGCTGGAAACAGACCAAAAACGTATCAAGGCACCTCTAGAACATCGGTTTGGAGAAACAAGAAGGAACTTAAAGCTGTTGATATCAAACAAAAATTAATCAGCTTTGGTTTTGTCCCTGTTACTGTTGCTCCAAACACCGCCAATCCTGTTTTAAGCCGCAGCCAAAAGGAGATAATCAACATCCACAAGATGTTAGATAAATTACAGGAGTTTATTAAACCTGTAATGAATTTGAAATCAGAAGACAGCAAGATTTTAGCTTATAATTTTGTACGTTACTCATCAATCAACCTTTATTTTCTTAAAAGACTTGAAGGATTAAACGTTGGAGACGCTTCAGCTGATGCTGCTCGGTGTTTTTGGAGACATAATTATCAGCCGTATCGTGCTAAGACTATTGTTAAGTGGGCTAAGGAGTTTTTGCGCGATCATAAGCTTTCTGATCATTCCCAAGGCAAACACAGCAAAAGAAAGTGTTTTCTTAATGATTCTGACGTAAAGACCATGGTTCTCGAAGAAATTCGAAAGACCAAGCCAGCCGAACGGTCATTAGTTGTTATCAAAAAGTATATTGAAGATGTAGTTGTTCCGTCTCTTTTGGGTGTTGCCAACCGAACCGTTTCTGAAACAACAATCAGCAAGTACTTATACGAATGGGGATATTCATATAGAAAGAACAAAAAAATGATATACTTTGATGGTCATGAACGTGAAGATGTGGTAGCATACCGTGAAGTATGGTCAAGACGTATGATGAAGTATATGGAAAAGATGGACTTCTATGCTGGTGACAACGAAGAGAATATTCTCGAGCCTTCCTTGGAAGAAGGTGAAAAAAAAATTGTATTTGTGACACAAGATGAAAGCACCTTCTACGCCAATGATGGAAAAAATGATCTTTGGCTTGAGGATGGTGAAAACCACATTCGTAAGAAGGGACCTGGATCTTCCATTATGATCAGTGAGTTTCAGTGTCCCTGTCATGGTACGATGAAAATCAAAAATTGGACTTCCAGGACAATCTTCAAGGCTGGAGATAGCAGAGAAGGTTGGTGGACCTACAAGCATATGGTTGAACAGCTTGAGGAGAATGTGATTGGCCTTTTTGATGCACTGCATCCGGATTGTACTGCTGTTTTTCTGTTTGACAATAGCTCAAACCACGGAGCATATTCCGATGAAGCTCTTGTGGTTAGCAGAATGACCTTGAACGAAAAGGTTTGGCCGGTCACTAACAAGTATCAGTTTCACGATACCGTTGTCACTTTGACAAATGGTGAGGTTCTTGAACAGTCCTTTTTTTACGAGGCTGTTACAAAAACTACCAGCAAAAAAAACAGTACCAAAACCAAGACAGTACGCTACTTTAAAGGAATTAAAAAAATTTTGCAGGAGAGAAGACAATGGATCGGCCATGACATCGAAGGCAAAGCTTGGAAGTTGGATTGTGGATCTCCAGTCATAGCACCCAGCAAGATTTGTTGTGCTCGTCATTTCTTGGGATCTCGCCCGGATTTCTGTAACCAGAAGTCAGCCCTTCAAGAAGTAGTAGAGGATGCGGGGCACATCTTTGAGCTATATCCAAAGTACCACTGTGAGTGTAATTGGATTGAAATGTATTGGGGCGGAGCAAAGCGGGAGGCTCGCCTTAAATGCGATTACACTTTCAAGTCTTTGGAACAAAATATAGACTCTTTCTTGGACAAGGCTGGTGGAATTGCTCGTATCAGAAGATACTTTAGACGAGCAACAGAATATATCGAAGCATACAGTAAATGTAGTGACGGCCGTGAGGTGGTACAAGCAGTCAAAAAATTTGCTGAAAAGAAGTACCTTTCGCACAGAAAAATTAGAATCCCTGCGGATTTAGACCGCGAATAAAAACTATTTTTAACTTTTTTTTTCTATATATATAGTAAGTAGACTTCAAATGCTTTACTTTATTTTTGTTCTGTCTAATGTCGAGGGTAAAAAAAAAAAAAAAAAAAAAAAACGCAGGATCAACATTGCAATTGCGAAAAAAAAATTTGAAACAATTTCAAAATTTGGTCGATTTAAGCTTGGTGGCACGTTATCTGCAAGATTTTTTTTTATTTTGTTCCTGTTTTACCTTTTCTTTTTTCCTTTTCTCTGTTTCAATTTAATTTCTCAATGAATTCTCAAAGTCACCAACAAATTTTTCTGATCTTCAAAATGTTAAGACAACAACAAACTGTTTTTTATGCATTTAGTGAAAACATTACTGCCAAGAACCAAGTAATTGTGGTTTGTTGCACGTAACTGTCAGTAATGTGCATTTGCGTAAAGAACAGCAATTGCAGTACGACTTTTTTGCAGCCGATTTCTCGAGTGAATTTGGAATGTCTATTACTTCCATGCCTTTGTTAATACTGGAGAAATTATCAACAGAACGAGAAATGTCGGTGTAGATGCCACAAGAGTGTCTGAAAGATACATTTTTTGGGAGGTACAACATCCCAACCTTAACGACGACGACGAAAAACTAGTAGATTGCTTCCGTGCCCCATATCAAATGGAAAGGGACTCTTTAAATTGGCTTGTCAACAGGCTGTCTACTCATCCCGAATTTCATTTCATGACACCAAACCACGGTCCTATCTACATCCAGATAGCTACCTGTCTTTTAAGACTGGCCAATTGTCCTTTTGGATACAGAAACATGTATGTCCTGTATGGTGTTTTGTAAGGCAGCTATACCAATTTCACGAGGCGTACGGTGAAGACCATCAAAGATGTGCTTAGCTATTTGATGGATTGGCCTACCAATCCAGCCATGGTGAGTGCTATATCTGCTAGATTCAACCAAGCTCCCGGTGTGAGTATTCTTGATGCAATTAGTGCTATTGATGGCAAAAACGTTACCATTTATAAGCCAACTCCAGCCGCATATGGAGTAAGGTTCTGTGACAGAAAATACAACTACACCATTAAACTTACCGCTGTTTGAG